CCAGGTGCAGTGGCTCATGCCTGTGATCCCAGCACTTTGGGAGGCCAAGGCGGGTGGATCACCTGAGGTCAGGAGTTCGAGACCAGCCTGACCAACATGTGAAACCCCATGTCTACTAAAAATACAAAAAATTAGCCAGGCATGGTGGTGGACGCCTATAACCCCAGCTACTCAGGAGGCTGAAGCAGAAGACTCACTTGAACCCGGGAGGCAGGGGCTGCAGTGAGCCGAGATTGCACCACTGCACTCCAGCCTGGACAACAAGAGTGAAACTCTGTCTAAAACAAACAAACAAAAGAATATGTCTCTGTAAGAAGACAGGTGCAGGGGGTGGTTGTGGACGCTGATTTTTCAAATACCTATTTAGATATAATCCATGCTTAATGCAGGACCTAACGAGGTGAGTGAGGCCTGAGCCCACAGAATCCCTCTCAGGGAATTCAGTTTAGGTCAAGCCACGCTTTGGTAGGCCTGTCTTCACTTTGCTCTTACCTAATCAAGGGAAATCTGATTAACATACACAACAAAGCCTCAATGGGGGAAAAAAAGTTCACAAAAGGGCAGAGAAGGATTGAGAGAAAAAAAGGAAGAGGCCTTGCCAGTTCTTGACTAGTTAATTAGGGTCAGAACCATACTGGGGATTTCCTATACCCTAAGTTTGTTAAGTGATTACATCGGTCTGGGGAAATGGGATCTGCTCAGAGTGATTCACTCAGTTTTCTTAGTATCGGGTGGTGAATTGCATTTCTTCTCCGCTACCCTATGTATTGACTAATGGATTGGGGGGTGGTGGTCTCCAAGAGGTGTGTTTACTCCAATTCAAAAGCTGTAGGATTTCAGTAAGCCTTGGCCTGTTGCGGAATGTGAGGTTTCAATCTTCCTCTCTCAAATGAGTGGGCTCTTATCAGTTATGAAGGGACTTCCCTTGGGACTTGTCACAACACCATACAGCGGAGATGGAAATTTGAGGGTAGTTTCTTGTTCTGCTTTGGCATCTTGGGGTGGCTTTGAAAAGCTTTCTGAACCTCTGACAAAAGAAAAATGTTCACAGGATTGATTACTACACAGAATTCAGTGAAGACAATTGGGCAACCTGAATCAACTGTTGAGATGGAAAGATAGGTGAGCTCTGATGACACATGTTTAAATTCTAGGTCTACAGGTAAAACTTTGTGAAGGGCCCTGCCTCAGCGACCTCTGTACTGGGCCCTCCTTTGCAGAGAGCTTCTTACCCCAACCCTAGCACTCCAGGTCCCGAGAATTGCTCAATCTCATGGGAAAAAGCCTCTATAATTATATATATATATGTATATGTGCGTGTGTGTATATATACACACACACACACACATATTACAACAGACTGATTTTCATGATTTGTAACTATCTTTGTAGACAAAAAACAAAGAAACCAATTCGAATAGCTTAACCTTGCCCACGTGGCTACTGGCATCAGTATTCCACACAAGATTAAAATTACTTTCCAAGATGTACACCCTGTACTCCAGTTGATATTTCAATAACTCGATTAAAAATTTCTCAGAAGTCTATTAGAATCAGGAAACGCTCTGCGGTGTGGGTGAGGATTTTAAATTTTTGCAACGGAAACTTTTGGCTCCACGAACAGAAGAGCAAGAGCAAAAACTCAATTAAACGCGTTCTTCCTCCATCCTTGCCTAATACAAAAGTTAAAAAAAAAAAAAGAAAGAAAAAAGAAAAACTGTTTGGATGAGTAGCGCTGAGGTTTGCTTTTTACTTTTTATTTTTCCTCTAAAACAGCCAGGTGGATTCACATGATCCAATTTT